TATGTTTTAGTTGATAATTGCTCAAACTGAAACTGCACTGCAACATCAAGAAATTTTGCACAAAAAGTTTCATTAAAAAGGCAACCAAGCTATCATCAGAAGAAGCAAGAAGTTGCGGTGAAAAATGAATTTGTATACCTTAACAGACGCATGTGCATACAAACAAACATTTTCGTAATTAACCAACCTGTAATGCTAGCTAATCTTGGAAAGTTACTTTCTATGATAATCAGACCAAAATCTTTATTTAAAAATCTACAATATTTTCCAAAGATTCTGTAATATTTCATTTGTTTTTATGATCAGTCTGATTAACCAACTGAACATTGTACCAATTGATAGAATGAGCAGTAAATAAGTTGTCTGTTATAACTCCTTGCGTCTCGTGATGATGGTGAGATAATTAACAAACCATATTTATTTTTTTTAACTGTTTGATTTAAAAAAAAATTTCATTATTGTTTATTCATAAAATATAACTGGTGGTTGTTCAAATAATTTAATACCAAACTATGACAATGGCACCTCTTAGAAAAGTACCAATGTTTATATCATAAAAAACAGTGGCATGTTTGTGAATTTATAACACTGAAAATTGGGTTTTGATATCCATGGTGGACACAGCATAGATAGCCCATTGTGTGAAGCTTTGTGCTTAACAGTAACAAACAAGATCAAAAGATACTGGAACATTATTCAAAACAGACCAATATTCTGCCATTAGTCTAAACTACTGTATAACTTTGAACATTGTAAACAAACTTAACACCAATAATAGCATGAGGAGAAACAGTTATGAGTATTGTTTTATATTTTGTCACAAGCAATGCAACTTCTTATCAATATTTGTAACCCTAAAATCACTGACAGAGTCCATTTTTCTAAACTTTTTATACACCAAATTGCTTGTGGATCGACAACTTTGTTGGTTACAAGCTACAGCTGGAGGTTCCTATGAATTTTAGACAGAAAATGAATTATTTGATTTTTAAAAATTTGGTTAATCATTTGTAACAGGCTAAAATGTAGTATTACTCAGTATTATACGTTATATATACCTTACTGTAGTGAATGGTATAAAAGTTAGTTTTTAATTTAAGGATATATGTAATAAGACTTCAAAATAATACATTTCTGAATAAATTTGTGTAATACTTTTTTGATTTCAGGGGTCACCAACTGCTGATACTCTACCCTCTGCTGACCTGTTAACCCAAGCTATGTCTGAACTCACACAGTCATTAAACGACTATCGACCCTCAAACTCAGAATATCTGGCTGCTCGTATTTCCCAGTCAAGTCCTACAGCCTTGATTATTCCTTCAAGTGGCCAGTCCTCCCAATCAGCAGCACTTATCAGTTCAACAGCAGTCATAGCTGGACACACAGATGATAATACTTCAATAGTTACACCAGAAACCACATCTACTTTAGAAGAGCTTGGCACAGAACAGCCCCAAACTATTACCACAGCAGTATTGGACCAGGTCCAGCTAGCACAACTCCTTGCCCAGTATCAGCAGCAACCTTTCAGGTTTGAGAATGCTATATTATTACATAAGTAATTGTAGGGTGTACAGGATTTTCCAGACTATTTAACTTTACATCAACCTATAAATTTATTAAAGTTAAGCCATGCATTACCATTCTTTAAATTATGTAAAAGTATGAAATACATATATATTAATTGAGTTAACTTCATATCTACTATCAGAGACCCGTAAAACATTCATGGTCAAATCAGTATCTGTATTGCAACAATACTTCTTTAAATACAGGATTTCTAGAATAATATACAAAGGATTTTATTTGCAGACACCAAAACCTACAAGTCCACTTGTCTTAGGCTTAACATTAGTTAAGCCTTTATTAAATACAGCCTATATTCTATACAGATAAATTAACACTAACTTGTGTATGTTCTTTGCTTTAGTTTACTTAGAGCTAAACTTTACCATACTTAATAGTATCAATAAATAAAGTTATTATGTTATTCTGTGACTTAACATTAGACATTTTTAAAAACTTAGATAAGCTTATAATATGTAGTTGTACAAAATGTCAACTAAAGTATATTTACATCTTCCTTTTGTGTACATCTGTTGAAATGATGTATTTGGATAATAAGATGAGTATGTTGAGTTATTACCAAGCCAGCTTCTATGCTCTTTTTTCTATTTTTCTAATGTTTTACAGTGTCGGTTTTTGCCAGTTGATGATGGCAGAGTTGAAATTGTATTAACTAGTGCAGATTTTTCAAAATAAAGCATTTATATGTTCCTATGGTCTGTTTCTAATAATTGTCTTGTTCAAATATATGTATTATTTCAGAGGTAGAATGTTTTGAATGTCATTCTCGTGTATGTCTTTGTAATATTTGGTTTGATTCATTTGATAATTTCCTCTGTGGTGGCAGGGTAAAAATGATACTTTGTCTATGGATCAGGGTATGTTCTGATAACATCATTGTTTATGGCTACATAAACCAGGGACACTTGATTTTTTTTTCTCACCACCTTAACTTCTTTAATCCCAACATCCAGTTCGCAATCTAGAAGGAAAGAAAAAATGAGGCAGAACTTTGCTTTTCTAGACCCCTCAGGAATTACAGTTGAATTTGAGACCCGCACAAAATTCTTAAGGGTAACTTCTGCAGTATTGTAGTTCTAAGAGAACAGTGATTTAATTCATGTTAAGCTTTGTTTTTATTACCGTGATCAATCAATTCACTCTCGTGCAATCCAATAGAAACGTGTTTTACTCGCATTTTCTATCTTAATGTGTGCTGTTCTACAGGTGGCAACATATTGACCATTCATTTCAAGTATTGCTTAATCCCTATTTGAAGTTTTCAATTAGTTGAATCAATATAACCTCTCATACAGCGAACATATGCTTTGCTCTTCTGCAGTATTGATTTTCAATGTTTATTTTTCATTGAAAAGTTAATCCTCAGCAAACTATTTTTCATGTCATTGTATATTTATATATTTTGATACAAATTGTATTAACTGATGTGGATTATTTCTCTAAATAAACAATGGTTCTTCCACAAAGTTTATTGACAAATTATTGCATTTGTGCAATATTTTTGTGTCTGCCATGTTAAGCATCAAGCAGTATTCGTCAGTCACACTTTGCCTTATTATCCATATTCTTTTGTATTCTGTTTTCGATGGTAAACAATATTTCATGTTTTATACATATAAGTGGGATTTTTTTTTATTCATTGTAATCTGTGCTTATGAAATATTTCCAAAATACATTTTTTATGGCCATGTAAATTTAGCAAGGCATGTTAGTAGCTAGCCTATTGTTAATAGACAGGTTTTAATTTAGGCTTAGCAAAACTTTGTCCTGAATGCTATATAATTCTCAACAATTTTCCTTTTCACTCGCCATGGACCTCACTTGAAATCTGGTGGATTTAGTTCCTCTCTCTTCATCTATTGCATATAGAAAAACTACCCATTCTAAAAGAAACTTGCTCTCTGTATCTAGTCATGTGTACTTGATTATGTACATGGTCATCAAAATCTTCAGTGGTTGTGACAAGAAAGTTTGGTTAAGATGGCATAAAATTACATAAACTAATTTCTTCTTCCATACAAAAGTATAAAAAGAATTATTTTAAGCTTTCTAGAGTTGTAATATGTGTTCAGAATAGCATTTAAACAGATCTATTTATGCTCTTTGAAGTTGTTTTCAACATGGAAAAGCACAGGTCAGTCATATCAATTTACCCAAAATAATATATACCACTATGTTTGAATGAAAATCTGTTGTGTAATATGAATCCTTTCCAAGTTTTAAATAAGAAGGTTCCTGTCAGAATACAGTAGTTACTGCTACTAGTAATAATATAATTTTTCTGTTTGAGATGTGTCTTAAATTCAATATTGGAAAGAAAATACTAAATTTTCCAAATGTAGTTGAAGATTAAAGCATAAAATCTTTAGAGTTTTGAATACTTTTAAGCAAAGTTACATTTAAGTATCAAAACATTATTAGATTGTAGTTGTTTCTTTTCCCCTACTGATATTTGAGTTCTGGTGTTTACTTTGAAATTATACGTGTGTGCGTGTATGTATTTATATGTATATGTTTTTTTCTTTTCTGTTTATAACTGTAGTATCTTGGCAACATTACTTCGCAATCCATCTACCCAGACGTCAGTACCAACAGTCACTGTAACCACTCCTACAGTCACCACTTCTGCCACTACTAACCTCAACAGTTCTCGCAACTGGCCAGCTACCACTTCAACTTTCACAGAATATCCAGCTCATTGAAAAGAATTACAAACATTCAGAATGAGAAAAACAAGAAAGGGACACGTGTGAATGTCTAATGATGGACAGCACGGTGCAGTTTTATTTGTACTTTTTCTGTAAATATTGATTCCAATATGAGAAGGAAACACTAGTAATCTCATCAAGTGTTGGACCTAGGCTTGTGGTCTTTCCAGTAATAAATATTTTGACATGTGGGCATATCGATAGCCAAGTTAAACTATTCTAGTAGTAGAGGTGCATTTAGAGGGCCAGTCAGGTCTAATACCTGTGATATATGAAAGGAAGCTTTCCAAGAAAGCTACGTAGTCAGAGGCATTACATATTAGTTCTTTCTCATTTTCAGAATGTTTTGAAATTTCTTTTTCACCAGATTATTTTTGTTCTCTTCACTGAGAGAACAAAAAAGTTTCTATGATATTAAACTTTAGAAACTGTTAGACGAGTGAACAGAAATATTACAAGAATCTGATGTTATTTTTGTGTGTGTGTGTGTGTGTCATGTACATAAGTAGTTCTTACTTTAGTTCCTCTTGTCCCAAAAATTAGAAGTAAGTTTTAAGTATTTTCTCCTCTTTTTGGAAGAGAATCTTATTGTATTATAGTTTGTAAGCCTTTTTTTTTTGTAGATTAATTTATGTAATGATGTATTCAACAGTACCCTGTACAGTTAATGTTTCTGTAAATGATACTGTCAGACTGCTTTCAACTCTTTTTACATGTAAAACACTGAAACATTTAATAGCGGACCATTCTGAGAACTGTTTATGAAGAACATTTATATAGAGCACAGGGCTTTTCATACAGTATATATATCAACACTCAGTCCTCTGTTTCCATCTATTTTATCCTGTTAGCTCCACTTGCACTTTTTTAATAATTCAGTAATAATTTCCTTTTCTTCTCATTTGCAAATACGTAAATTCAAACATGCTGAGTTGACAACACATTCCCTAATATTTTATAAGAAGCATATTGAAATCAAAGAGTTATATATATATATATATATGTATACATGTGTGTGTGTATAAGAATGAAAGAGGTTTCAAAAGTAAATCTTTTAGTTAAAAATTTTTGAGATTCGTGGATGCTTTGTTTTGTGAACATAAAGGTTTCATTTGATTGACCTAGTATCAAAGATCAAATAAACGTGTGCATTTGTACTAGCTTCCTTATTCAGTCGTATCATGCAATTTTTTTTTTCTCTCTTAAAAACATGTTCAAAAAATAGAACTTCAAAATTAGTTTAGCATTAAGTATATTCTTCTATATGACGTTGTTTTTAAAATATACTAATAATAATTTGCAGTTACTGAACATGTTTAAATTGTAGTTACTTTTAAAATTCAAATCTTTTTTTTTGAGAAAAACAGGATAGTTATTTTCATTAAGTAAAACTTGATGTGTATTCTGGATGATCCAGGTATGTACCTTTCCAGTACATCAACAGTATATATGTTTGAGAAAAGTGAAATATGGATGAACAGTTTTGATGAAAATGAAGATCTACATATTAACATAACCTACATCTTTACAATCATGCCATTTACAAAATACCAGTGTTATATGCTTTTATGTAGTAATATTAAGGTCATAATTATGGACAAGTTTGCACGTGGTGATCAGTAAAGTGACCCCTGTGTTACAAAAACGAATTTTTCTGACCTTAGAATTTTTTTTTAATTAGGTTCAGATAACCAACTGATATTGATAAATGAACATGCTATAATCCAGTAGTCTTAACAGGAAGTAATTTAATTGCAGTATTGTTATTTAGATTTGCTGGTTTTGTGTTGGATGATAAAAAAAAAACATTATCTTCAATCCTTAACAATCTTGCCTCACCAGCCTATTTGTTGGTTTGCTTGGAGTGACATCTGGTTTTGGAACTCATATGATGTTGGAAATAAGTTTAATTAGTATTTTTCCAGAACACACTAGGATTGGAATATTACCCTTAAATGTAATGAAATGCTATGGCTTTGCCCTGTTTTTTAGGTTTGTGTAAGTTTCTACATTAAGTTGAATGATCATTGGGTTAACAAGGTTTATATAAACAGTGATATTAAAATAATTAGGTAAAAGTTGTTCACTTGTAACACATATCTGATGTTATTTGCTCTTTCATAAGATATTTCAAAACTGTATGTTATGCAAGATAATTACCAGATTACTTTCAAAAGTCATTTGATTATAATGTCATCAAATGTGTGTGAAATCTACTTAAACTGTATCTTAAAATACAAAAAAGTTACTGAAACTTTCCATACAATTAACTATAAATATTATTTTAATGTTTACTCAGATCTTTTATTCTGATAAATAAAACCCCTCAGAAATGTATGTAATATTTGTGGGATATCACAGTGAGGTTTAAAAAATATGAAGACATTTTTGTAAGTCAGATCAGTTAATGGGAATCCAGGAAGAACTGGGTAGCTGAAGCTAGAACTTAACTTTAACTCAAATCAACCTAGTAATCATTTTGCTTAGAGTTTAAAATCAATTTCATTTTGAATTACTCCGTAAAGAATCGAACCTACAGATTTTTTGAGGCCTGAAGATAATATTACAGTTTTGAAATATTGTTTTCTAATATGTAGATGTCTTAACTACTGAGCACCTCTTCTTTTGAATCAAGAAATATCATACTTTGTTTTAAGATTATATACTGTTAGTTTGTGTGAACCAGTATTTTTAATATAATAGGATTGGTCGACTGAAGAGAAGAAATTATAAACATGGAGTATGTTTCATCGATTAAAATTTGCTAGTAAGTATACTCATTTACTGTCACAATTAAAAGCTTGATTTGAACAAATAACAGTTATTACCTTACTTCAAAAATAAACTGAAAAGTTTTTATACAAACTTCCAGGAGATTCTGTCATGTAAAAGACTAAACTCCATTATCTTTTTTTAAGATTATTTATGCTTAATGTATGATAAGTATGCATACATAAATGAAGTTTTTGAAAATCACACACTGAGATTTGTTACCTGTAAAACAGTAAGAAACTTTTTTGGAGATATAGAGGTGCTGTTCTGAACTTGTATAAATAGAGAAAGGAGTGCACACAGTTTTATTTTGAACGTAAACACATAAAGTTTCATTTGCAGTGTAAAGACGTACAGTTTTATTTTCAATGTAAAGACATAGTTTTATTTTCAGTATAAAGACGTACAGTTTAATTTTCAGTGTAAAGATGTAGTTTCATTTTCAATGTAAAGACGTACAGTTTCATTTTCAATGTAAAGACGTACAGTTTCGTTTTCAGTGTAAAGACGTACAGTTTTATTTCAGGGTAAAGACATACGGTTTTATTTTCAGTGTAAAGACATACGGTTTTATTTTCAGTGTAAAGATGTACAGTTTCGTTTTCAGTGTAGACGTACAGTTTTATTTTCAGTGTAAAGACGTACAGTTTTATTTTCAGTGTAAAGACGTACAGTTTATTTTCAGTGTAAAGACGTACGGTTTTATTTTCAGTGTAAAGACATACGGTTTTATTTTCAATGTAAAGACGTACAGTTTCGTTTTCAGTGTAAAGACGTAAAGTTTTATTTTCAGTGTAAAGATTTACCTTTTCTTATGGGTCCCATTTGTAATTTATGTAACCAGAACAGCAGCAAACAGATCTTGTATAGATTGAGAATCAGTTTTAGTGAATGGATTTAGCCTCTCCTGGGTACTGTTGAGTACTTGGTATTGATTGCTGGACCATTTTCCAATCAGGCATTCTGTGAAGGTGTATAGATTTTTTTACCTATATTAAGGACTAGAGAATATATTTGAGATACTGTTGTTTTTAAAAATGATGGCAGCTCCAACTAGTTGTCGTCAGAAACTGACACAAAGTATTATTTTTTAGAAGTTTTTGCAAACATATCGAATCACGATAGAATTTCAAGGATAGATCTTGTACAGTAGAAAGATTGGTAGAAAATTATAGCAGTAGATGATATAGTTTCCAAAAGCATTTTTAGTAATTATGTTTTATGTAATTTTATCACTGATGATTTGTTTTTCTTTATGCTATATGGAAAGATATGTTAATGTCAATAAAAATTTTCCATGCTAATTATCTCATCACCAGAAAGTTAATGCATAAATTTTTTAAGTTATGAAAAGTTATAATCTTTAGAAGCAATTATAAGTTATTAATATGTTTCTTACTTTTATTTGGTTATATTATCACACCAACTAATAAAATAACTTGATTTATCTTAGTCTTTGAGCTAGAACAGCTTATAAACTTTGTTGGATTCCTTGATATGTTTATAGATATTTTATTTTAAACTTTATAATTAAAAAAATGGGTGAAATACAACAGAAGAAAACGTCAAATTTGAAATACCTTGCATTGGTATTAAAGGGCAGGAAAACTATTTTATAAATCCCCATTTTGGGTACTTGTATGGCATATTCACTCATACTCTTTTATAAAAATAAGACAGATTTTGTTGTGTATCAGTATTCTGAACCTTTATTACATGATTAGAAGTGTCAAATGTTAGAATAATTCATCATAACTGTGTTTTACAGTGCTCTAATTTACTCAACAGCCCTTCTCAAAATGTGCTCTACAGAGAAATATTTTGGAATGATTTCCTTAATGGGCAGAACACAGAAACTTGTTATGATGTTAAATTTTCATTACATATGCTACAGTTTCTGCTCTCATTGCATTTATTAGGAACTTTCTGTTGAATTATTGATATTGCGATGTTTCATTCACGATAAAATTTATAAACTTGCTCGCAGGGAGATTTTCAGTTTAATATAATTGAAAGCCAGTGAGAAAAGATTTCATTTTTGTTTAAAATGTAAGTTTTCTGATGTTTAAGTTAATTGTATCAACAAACATCTTCATGTGTCAGTTATGTTCCTTTGTTTTAATTCTATTTTTAACATTTTCCACTGTAGTCATAGAAAGGATACCAGTTTCTACTCTTGACTATTTATTGAATCATGTGTTTCTGAATGTTTCCTGTTGTTGTATACCATCATTTGTCATGAAGTAAAAACTTTTTTCTGGATTTTGTTTTTCTCTCTCTCTCTGAGGTGCATCTTATGCTTAAGAAAAAAACTTGAAAGTGAAGTTTTGGTCATTATGGTGGGCATGGTTAAAAATTTTGTGACAAAATTAGATTTTTCAGTGTGAAAACATCAACCTAGGTGTCATAATCAGTTGTTTAGAAATTGTATCTTATCAGTTGTTGTACTTGTGTTAATTACAATATTACCTCTGGCACTGTGCATGGAGGAACAAATTTTATTATTAAAATCATCAACATCAGGTCGAATTTTTATCACACTAATTAATTGATAAAATAATGCAAAGTTGTTAGTATTAAAAAAGCCCTGTTGGTACTAGTAAAACAGAACTTGTTGTTCCTAAATATTGTTATATCCAAGTGCATAACTTTGGAACATATGATACATAACTTATACATTATTCTGCCCATCATTGATTGTGTCTACTCTGACTTCTCTTGTGGAATACATGTGTCTTTTTTCTATATATATATACACACACACATATTCGTGCTATGTTTACATACTATGGCATCATTGTTGTTCCCTTGAGTCTAAAGAGAAAAATGCTCACCGTAGAAGAATAAGCCAAACATACGTATTTTTTAAACACAAAATTGTAAATAGAATTCTCTTCGATAACCTTGTCTGGCACTTAATGAGGAGAACCCTCAAATGTGATTGCACAGAAGTTAGAAGGGATTCATCAAAGATGGAATCCTAAAATACAGATTATCAAACTGAGTCTTGACTCTTTTTATAGAGAAATCCCCACCCGGTGAGTCATCAGTAAGTTTATGGACTTACAATACTAAAATATTGGTTTCAGTTTCCTGCAGTGGAAAGAACACAAATAACCCATTGTGTAGTTTTGCACTAAAATAACAACCAGGATTACTTTTAGATACATACAGAAACTTGTGTGGTGTTGTATTACTTATCTGTTCTCAGACTGCAGTAAATATTGATTAATTATTTCAAAAACTTGTAATTATGCAACTTTTTATTTTGTTAATAATAAAATTAGAGATTTTAATGAACATCAGTTGTTCAAGGTATTTATTTAATATCAAACTTTTGAAGGCTAAAACAATGGTTATAGCATCTCCACCTAGATGGGTTAATGTTGACCCTATGGTAGAGCTCTGGTTCAAATCCATGTTATACCACAAAACATTCCCCACATTTTATGCTCTGGGTATATATTATAAGAGTGACAGTCAATCCCTTAGTATGAGTGGTAGTTTTAGGGTTGCCAACTGTCCTCCTTTGAGATAAAATGTTGAAGTGTTCATTTACTTTGGTTAGGGGCCCTCCATGTGACAGGGTGGGGGAGTCAAAAAGTGGCCTAAATTGTATGACGTCCTTTATAGACGGCTCCCTTACAAGAATGTCCTACTTCAGACTTTTCAAGAGTTGGTAGGATGTTGATGACTGGCAGCCTTCCCTCTAGTCAGTAGCTCAAACTTAGGGACAGTGGCAAATAGCCTTAGAAGCTTTACCATAAATACAGTTCATATGCACAATGTCATGACAATTACACTGGTACAACAAAAGATAAAGTACAACTAAACAAATAGAGAATTAAACTCAGAACCAAATCCAAGACATCTGAAGAGTTGTGATTATCATGGCTTATCCTACCATATGAGTAAGCAGCATCTCAAATTTTATGAGAGTTTGTTCCATTTATTGGGGTGTGTGGTGCCTATCAATAAGCTGTTTGTATTAGATAAAAGCTTTATTATTATTATATTAAAAACCACCACCTATTGGACAAAATTAATTAACCTTGCTTGAGAAAGAGTTTAATATTGCAAATAAGTAAAGTAACTAGAAGGGCACTCAGTAGAGCGCATACCTCCACCTCATAGCATTCATCATATTCGGCTCTGTCCATATATCCGTCATTATCAATGGGCACAGACCATTTTTGGCAGGATAAATGAGGAACAATATTCTACACCTGTCCACAAAGTATCATCAAATATGATCATTTTTGACTGAGTTATAGAGCAAAAGTTGTAAGAAAAATTGGTCCGATGTTAACAGATAGATTGTTTGGGATTATTGTGATCTTGTACCTCCAAATACTAACCACTTCTGTGGTAGGTCATAGTCCAAATCTATTCAGCCATTTATGAGAAATCTTGCTAACAAAACTGATATGTTCTCAAATTGTCAATTAAAGGCTTTTACTTATACTTCTTAATACTATAAGTATATAAACTGCGATGTTGTTGTTGGGCTTAGGATTCTTCTACAGTAGGTGTCTGTGACTTGTTGGTGATAAATAAATAGTATGCACTCCACTTG